CATCGCTACTTGGGTGGAGGTCATTGCTGCCATTGCTACTAGGGTGACCGGTGGAGGCCATTGCACTAGGGTGAAGGCCATCGCTATAGGTTGGAGGCCATTGCTTCTAGGGTGCTGGCCATCGCCGCGTGGTTGGAGGCCATCGCTACTAGGGTGGAGGCCATCGCTATTGACTTTGAGGTCATCGCTATTAGGTTGTAGGCCATCGCTACCAGAGTGGAGGCCATTGCTACTAGGTGGGAGGCCAGCGTTACTAGGGTGGAGACCATGGCTACTAGGTTGGAGGCCATTGCTATTTCAATGCTCAAGGCCGTCACTGCGGCTGGATTGCTGCCCTGGCTTCCATTGCCGCGCCGGGAGCACTTGGAGTTTTGCATAATTGTAATACTGCATGACACTATGAGAGGCACTCACAACCTTGCAGATGTTCTTTCAGTCATTCCTTTTCCGAATTGCCGAATTGCATTTTTTCACCTGGACAGCTAGAGGGACGCACCAATTGGCAAATGAGTTTGCATTATAATACTGCATTCTCTAGACGGAAGTTGTGATGTTACAGAGGGAAAGTGAACTTGGCATGCCTGCTGCCTGCTCATATAGACTTTGGGACAAGGAATCAGCATTTAATTGTGCGATTCATGTGACTTTGAAGGCCTTGGAGGGATTGGAAACATCTTTTGAAACTGAGGCGAAATGCAGACGTTTGTCTTATCCCTGAGATGAGCATCGACTTGGACAAGTTAATGGAATACATTGTCGAGGCAAGCGCCTCATCCAACTGTTGTGCCTGAAGGGTGTCAAAACATGCCAATGTCCTGCGACAGGTCATGAAGCGACAAAAGTATGCTGTAATTGTTGTGGCTCAAGGCACGGCATCCTGGCGCCGGAATCAGGGAAGTTGGGAAGCATGTCCTTGGCAATCGTTTCTACTTATTGCATATCTTGGGCAGGGGTTGATCACGGACATTCCTTCAAACTTTGGTTTATCATGCGACAGCCTCCGTGAATCCAGGTTGTGGAGATACCATCATTAGCAGCGGCAAGAGCACAGATGCGGGAGGAAACAAAGTTTTGGCTGACGTCGGCCGGGAGCTGAAGAACCTGAGGCAAGCACTACGCCAGGAATGTCCTATGGCACGTTACTCAAAGAAACCCTTCATTGCACTATATATAACATAGTTGTTTATTTGCCATATTTGCTGACGCCGCAGCAGACCACCGACCTCAGAGGACATCAGAAGACACTTTAGACTCAAGATGTAAGGTGTGCTTAGGCAGGATTAATTGGTATGTCATGGCCGCGCACAGGCAGCAAAACACACACTTATGGATTTGGGTACTGAACTGAAAGCGGTGCCACACGCCGGCCTAGGGTACCAGTTCCTAAGAGTACAAAAATAGTACTGTAGGTTAAAGGCCTTCGCTTTTGGGTTAGAGGCCAACGCAAGGCTGTTGGGGACCAAGACCTAAGGTTCGAGGCCATCGCTAGTAGGTGGTGGACCATAGGCACAAAGTGACAGCAAGAAGCGAAGTTGGAGGTCATCGCTAGTGGGTGGAGGCCAAGGTACCAAGTTAGAGGCCAGTGCTACCAGTTGACAAGAAGCACAAGAAGCACAAGAAACACAAGACAGCCAAGGTTGGAGGTCATCGC